AAGTAACTTGGTTTGAAATCTCGTAACTTTTTATTTTTGTTCAATTGTTCTGTTTTTACTGCTATTTTATTTCACTATTATTTCATTTCAGGTTTTTTTGCTTAATATAATTGTTATTTTCAGCACTTCATTTTCAATTATCATTTTTATTTATTAGTCATTTCAGGGATTTCAAATCATTTTATATAATATCAGAAAATGAAAGTTCGAATTAATGAAATTCATCATGAAACATTGTCAATCATCTTCTTCACTTGTTTTCCTCAAAACTTATAATTAATTTTAAATTGGACATAATGAAGACATTGAAGATTTGTTTTTAACATTTGGCATTATCAAAATAATTGAATGATTTACCCTGTATCCATAAATGATATATTTACTACTTTTGATATTGACTTTCTGTAACCAAGAGTGATCATTTTACGGAAACTAGTTGTGTCATTAAATAGCACATTTTTCGACAGAACCATTTATAAGTTAGGCATGCGATATTGGAAAATTATTTCTTAAGAAGAATTCATTTTGGACACATACAACATTTACAGTTCAACTAAGGCAACAAGAACATTTATTTATAAGCTTTGTTTTGTCGCTTCTGGAACAGCGGATATAACTCTATCCCTGGGTGATGCTGGATTAGCGAACTCGGGTTAATAACTTATAAAAGGCTTTTAAAAAAAGAAAGTAACATTTTGCAACTCTTGTCTTGAGTAGGTTGGTTTATTTTTTTCGTGTTATTGACATCGTCTACATTGGTCATTAGCCTCGTGTCCTGAGTAGGCGATGTTAATTACTCCCCGAGTCCCCTAGGGAGCATCATGACATTTGCAGTCCATCAGCCATGTAACATTACAGAATGGTTCCTGCTTCAACTAGATAAATTATCTCGAGAAAAATATCTGGTCGAGCCGATTGGTTTATTATTCATCAAAATTATACCCTTGACGTGAATTTCAAAATTTTATTCAAATTTTCACTACAAATTCATCACAAAGTTCTCCATTAGAATTATTCAAACAAAAAAATATTCCTGATACGAATTTTTGATTAACGCCAGAAATCGAATCAAACAGTGATTATTCAAGAGATATATATCTACTCTGTATGTAAGTAATATGATGACCCATTATTGAAAAAAAAACAATATCATAGTTTGAGAATATGCAAAATAGCGAAAAAAGTTATCAAGTTAGGTAACATTTCGAAAGCGGTTTCTGAAATGATAAAAAATGAGACTAACTACATCCATATCAGAACAAAATAAATATAGATGACCTTCAATTAGCTGCTCAATCTTTCAATTCTATTGATAAAAGAACTCAGATTGTTACTATAAAATCTCAGAGTGAACGATCTTCAGCCAGTTCCATGTTATTATCTTCTTGTACTTTTTGAGATGTTTATAAGGAATTATTCTACCAGTTCATTTCATTAACTCTTATGTTCCATACTCAATTCTCGAATATGTTGCAGATTATCATGTCAATATGCCATCCTTTGAATTGTCCCTTCATCACTGGATGTTTTCTAACATCTTTGAGACAAGCTCTCATCAGACCCTTCCAGGACCTTCCATGAAAAAGTGTTCTTTCTACAGTTATCTAGGTACTTGAGAAGAAAGAACTATATTATTTCCATTAATTCGGTTTCGGGAAGGAACCAGCTACACATAGCGCGATTATTCAATTTCATAAATATATTGTTGGTTATCACGATAAAAACAATTCGACTGAATGTATTCTGCTTATTTTATATCATTGACTTACTTGTTACTCCAAAAACTCAATAATTTTGGGATTCGTAAAAATGCATCACAATGACTAGTATCTATTTTTGATAACTGAATTCAAATAGTACAAATGATTTGTAGTGACTTAATATTTATGAGTCTTCTTCTTTATCAGTTGAAACAGGTGTTTGATCGGCACACTACTTTTCATATTCATGATCATTTGAGGGACACTATGTTTTTTGCAGATTATACAGTAGTAGCATCTTCATCCAAGACTTTCGATGATTTGAGTGTTGACGTATCTGTATCTGTTCATAAAATAAAAAATTATTGCATTTCAAATGGACTGGTTCTGAATGAAAATGAAACCGATTTGAGGGTGTTCTCGACTAGTGATCTGAATGTAATGGAATAAAATAATGAACTAGTTGAATTTCTTGTAGTTTTCATAGCTTCTCAGCTTTCTTGGTTTGATCAAGCTAATTTTTTTCTCAAAAAACTCGCAACCCATTGTTTCGTTCTGTGGCAACTCCGATCTGAAGTTAATATCAACTTCCTGCTGTCGAATTATTCTAGATATATTCATTCATGTTCAAGTTACAGTATATGGTCTGTTGATGCTATTCTAGATATGTTCATTCATGTTCAGGTTACAGTATATGGTCTGTTGTTGCTGCATGTTATTTTCGCACTGGAACAATTTGATTTTCTCGTCCATTCATATTCTGAATAGGGAACGTTCCTCCTGACGAAATTCAAGTAGTTTTCATGAAAGAGCTCTAAAACAACGTATTTAAAACTTATCATTTCAACCTTTTTCTTTGAAAAATTATTTAAATACTTAAATAATGAAATAATGCATTCAACATTTAAAGGGATTCGTTTCTATTTCACCATTTGTCAACATCGGTTATAGCTAATGAAGGACAATGAATCTGTTACCTATATGAGACAAACAAAGATGACATATTTCAAAGGCGTGCTGAAATTGAATTATATAACATGTTACCAAATTCAATGAAATCAATCCAGTTTACACAAATTTTTGTGGGTAAGGTGAAAAAATGCTTCTATTCACTATCTGCATACTTAGCATTTCAAATGTAATATTTGTATAACAAGTATGCAGTTAGTTAAAAAAATCTTCTTGAGAGCTACCCTTGTATTCTCAAGTTTGAGGAAATGGAGATTATTATCATTGTTATCAATTTTGTTGATATTATCATTATTGAACTTGCATCGTGTTTTGTTTGGATCTTCACATGATACAATTTCTCCCCAAACCTCTTCAATAATTCAAAAGAGTAGAGTGAGATTGGAACGACAGGTATATTCATAGCACCAAATTTGTTTTTTTTTTCGATAGTTTTGATAATTGTATCTCCAGAATTTTGTACTGAATCCTCGTGGAGAGGATTTTCATTGAGTAAGTGGCATTGTTCCACACTGGGATGAGTCTCTCCGCAATCCCTGCACCATATCTCTTTGAAATGAACCGATGAACATGTTTCTATCTGATGAAGATCTTTTCTCTAGAGGCATGGGTTTCAAGGTCAACTAAATGAAAAAATGGGTAAATTCATGTCAGGTGTTTCAGTAATTGTTTCTTCACATTAGGGACTGCTTGTCACTAGTTATAATGCTTATTTCGAAGTTATCAAAGCAATTTTCAGGAAACATCCAATTGATTTATCTACTTATCTATTAATTTATTTATTTTATATATTTCATTTATACACTTTTCTGCAGGTTGTACATACCTGCAGAACAGGGATATAAGTCAAATCACAATACAATACAATTACAATAAGTTATAAAATAAAAACAATACATATAGAATTAGCTGAAGTAAAAAGACCTAATCTCAGAGATGCAACAGTAAAAAATATCGAGCTGACAACTTGCAGAATTGCATATGACACACAAGTTATGTAGAGGTGAACGTTGCAGAATATTTGTACGTGGTATTGGCAGATAAAAAGGATAAACCAATTTAGAGGTTGATCTAGTTACATTAAAATTCAGTTTTTGCAGAATATGTGGGTCAATAATTGAATTATTAATCAGTTTAGAAAAAAAAGTGTAGTGACAATCACGACAGCCACTCAAGCTATTCATAGCATGTCTAGCTAACAATGCATCAAGGGGAAATTCAATTGGTGGATAGATATTGTTTGATCTATAGGAGAGAAGTTTCAGGAAACGACGTTGTACTGACTCAACTTTCTCTGTATACAACTGATGAGATGGATTCCAGATTATGGATGCATATTCTGATTTTGATCTGACGAAAGCACAGTATAAGGTTTTTGATGTAGATGGATTCGAGAATTCTCTGAAAATTCTTGCAATGAATCCATACATTCTGTTTGTGGCAGACAGAATTACTTTAATATGTGGTACGAAGAAAAGTTTTGTGTCGAAGGTAAAATCTAGATCGGTGAATGTGAGAGGCCGTTGAAGTGAAATATCGTTTATCAAATATTGATTTGAAAATGGACGATTTTTTAGTGTGTACGTCATTACATAACATTTGCTGGCGTTTAAAGGAAGATTATTGCGAAAACACCATTGCTCAACACGTTTCAGATTGGGAAAGAGTTGAAGACAGTCCTCGATGCCATTGATCTCACAATATAATTTCTGGTCATCCGCGTATATCAAACAATTGATGTCAATGACCTCAAATATGTCCTTTATGAAGGCGTTGAAGAGAAGAGGTTGCTTCCTCGTGGAACACCCAAGGAAGCTGCATATTCCACGAACTTGAAGCCATTGAATATAACATACTGACGTCTGTCAGTGAAGTATGATAGAAAACGTTGGATCAGGGTCAGAGAAAATCCGCACCTGTACAATTTCGATAGCAGTAATCCGTGATCAAATCTGTCAAACGCTTTAGAGAAGTCCATATATATGACATCACTTTGGTATCTTCTATCAAGGGTTTCAGAGATAGATTGGGTAACATGATTATCGAGCGACCTCTCATAAAACCATATTGAAGTGGTGTAATTTGATTGCTCGAATGAGGATATAACCTGCTATAGATGAGGATTTCAAACACTTTGGCGAAGCTGCATATTATTGATATGGGTCTATAATTACCGACATCCTATTTTTCATAAATTGACCATAAATTGACCATATATTAATATTGTAGAAGGACGAGCCAAAACATATGCACAATCTCTGACAATCAGTGCAGGCATGCTGTCGGGAGCTGTAGGCATTTTTGCTTTTATATGTTTCTTATCATACTTACTTGCCAAAACAGCACAATTTTGTGGATGCTCATCTTGGTCATAATCTTTTGTTGTGAATTTTTTTCCCAAATGATATCTTAATGAGTCTCCAGCATCGCCACTGAACTTCCCAAGATTTTTTAATGAATATCCATCTTGTTCGGAACCAATCGCAAATTCCTTGTAATGTGCATATGCTGTTATATTATCCCTGTCAGTGATCTCGACAAGCAACTCACTGGACTGAGAATCTGGAAAGGGTGAAAACAAAAATGATTGCTATCGTGAATAACAAGATGAGTACTTGTTGGGTTAGCAAAAAAAAATCACTTGGATTTAATTGTGATCTATCGGATTCATGAAGGAAATGGTCAGTCCTTGATGAACATTTTTATACGTTTATTTCACAATACTTCATTGTGAGAACAGTTCACACAGTTTAAGACACTACAAAGCTTTTTTCATCACCTAGTAACTTCATCAGCCTCACCTGAAATATGAGAAGTGTAATGAAGTGATCAACCGGATTTCAACAACAAACAAACTTTTCATCGGTCTCTTGACGATGAATATTATACGTAAAGTTCGCACTCCGACGATGACATTCAACAGTCTCATTCAAGTCTTTCTCTGAAGCAGACACTATAACCTTATTGTCACCCCTATAATTTGAAATTTCATCGCTCATGTCGGTTCGTATCCGTGAAATCCTGCCTAGAACATGAAATATCCTACTGCGAATACGATTCGGTAAGTCTTCATTAACTCCATCATAATCATTTACCAAGTCCGATAATAGATCGCACACTTTCGTCGATTTCCTTCCTTTTCGTGTCATGTGAATAATCAGTGACAGCATAAACTATTATTGAACGTGACTGATCTTTTTTCAGTACTCTTCGAAGAAATTTTTGCTTCAAATCAATATCTACCCTATCAATATTTACGCCCCGAATGGATGATTAATAATTCAACTCATACACTCTTGAATAAATTGATGGATGTAGCCATTAATACGTGGTAGGCGATCATAATGAAAAGAGAAATGAAAATTTCTATGTGCAGTAACGTTAGTTACAATTAAAAATGGTAAAGAACATAGAAATTTTCATTTCTCTTTTCATTACATTCTTAAATGAGTATGATTCATATTGTAACTGACAGCAATGATTAAAATTTTTGATTAAAAAAACAAGAAAAAACAACGTGATTCAATGTATTTCACTCTGTACTACTGTACACCCTGTAACTGAAGATACGCATATTACTCTACGAGTGATATGAATTTGAAAAAAAAAAAATTCAAATATCATTCGTTAACTAGTTGAGAATTGGGACAGCCTGTATATAAATCGCAAGTGACAACAACACAGGTTATCGTCCCGAACACGACAAACAGAATAAAAAATGCTCTATTCGAGCTGGAAATTACAGAAAAATTCAATTACTGAAAGACCAGTTGCTCACTTTTTTACGATCAAATCGTTCTTATCATACATCTATTTAAAAGTTCCAAAAAACATTCTTTTTTTTTATAGGAAAGCGAAAATGTTTTAGGAAAAACTGCTTACTGGGCATCGGCACATGTAATTGAAATCAGAAAAACTCAAGCCCCATAAGTTGGGCGCCAACTTTGTGTGGCGTACTTACTTAAAAAATGAAATTTCATAAAAATAAATCTCAACATCAACTTTATCTACGTCACAACCAAGGCGTGGATTCGAATTCTTGAGATCTGATTGAAAAATTAAGATGTCCTTTAGTAAGCTGAGAGGACGCCAGCCAATAAATATACTTATATAAATTGACGAGGAATGGGGAATATATGATAATTGGCAACGAGCTTTGCTACTCTCTTAAATATGGCATAAATATTACTGAATTAGTAAACAAGTAGCAGGAAACTAAATACACATGAAACACGGAGATTTGTTTCTAGTGAAGCCAATAAATATGAATAGATAATATGAACATAAAAATTCCATGATAATTATAACTCAATACTTTAAATCAATAGGGATTGTTCAATCAACAGCTATCGATTGAATCAAAATAGGTATGCATGAACAATATTGAAGAGAAAACATTTTTTACAAGTTTAAACGATCAATAATCATTCGGTAACAATAATGAATAAAACGCATAACTTCTTTATTTCAATGTTCCACTTGACATTGAAGGAGAAGACATGTAGGTACTCACTCTGTTTCAAGAAGTAGGTTTTCACCCCGGAAGGGGTGAAATTCCACGAGTCTTCCTGAAATTGAAGACACGACCAGACCGAAATTATTTAAAAAAATTTTTTCTCAACCACGCTAGTTAGAGGCGTATCTCGCACAGAATTTCTTATAAAATGGAAATCGGCGCTCAAGGTAGACAATCGGACAACGACATAGCAGGCAGTGAACGATCATGATATAGATGTAGCCAAATTTTCCGGATAAGGTTGAATCTATTGAATTTAACATCAACTCTTTAATATCTTGAATTATTTACCTTAGATTCTTTTCAGGCTTCTGAAGTTAAATAGGTACATGAAGTTTGAAATTTATTTTATCGAACAGCACCGACCCTTTTCTCTGCTCGATATTCGTTCACTCAAGCTTCGCACCGTCGCTTCATTTGTCCTCTATCCACCTGCACGCCATTTTGATTGAACTATCGAAATGTATATACAGGTTGTCCCAGTCTCTCATTAATGAACAGTTACACAATGTTTTCGTCATGCTGCCACGAAAGGCAGATAACTGTTACCATTTGAGAGCAACATTTGTTATCTGCATTTCATGAGTAAGGTGAACCTAAGTAACATTATTGAAGAGTGGATTATCATAACTCTCCAACCTGTTTTCTCTTTAGTAATTTTGGTTCAAGCATATCCTAAATGTATATTTACACAAGTTTCATTCGGAGTTTCGAATCTTTCATTCTGAAAAGTATTTCAAATGCACAATATGCTTTTATATTATTGGATGTATCAATGAACCTGGCAATTAGAGTGAAAATATCCCAGGAAAACTCAATAGGTTCAACTCATCATTCATCAACGAAAAGAAGATATAGAACAACATACTATTTTTTTCGAAGATATCCAATCATAAAAACATCGAATTGATCAACCGAATTCTCTAATATTCATATTTATCAAACTTCATGACTATTTAACACTGAAGGAAAAAAAAACCGGTTTCTTCACTACTAGACTAAAAATAATTCATAGAATGATGTACCAAAGTGCTGGTTCAGTTTCACTTGTCACTGATTCAAATAAAAGTTAGTTGAGAATTATTTATAAGCATTTATACAATTGATTATTATCTTTCATGAATAATTGTTTCGTTAACTAAAAAAGGCCTTTGCGCCAAATGAAATTCAACTCATTTCTGTATAAAAAACTGATTCACGCTATCTAGGATTGACTCAAATGCTTTTTGAAGATCAATAGGGCTCTTTGTTCAGTAGTAAATGAGACTCAAACATTTTCACATTGTGAATGAACAGGCACAGATACTAAATTCAATTCATACAATAAAAAGGAGAATCGCTTTTTTGTGATACAACCATATTGATAACAACTTTCATTTTCGGAAATTCTAGAAATCATGAATGATATGTTTGATTCATAATATATCAGTTACCTGTAGAAATATGAATATTTTCCAGTCCCAGCCAGAATTCTTCGTTTAAATTTCCAAAACCAAATTTATACTCCCGCCAGCCTAGAAAGAAGTCTTGGGAACCGTCCAATCTTCTGTGGATATGAGTCCAACCGCCGCCTTCAGTTTCCATGTCACATAAAACCATGAAAGGCTTGATAGCGTTTGTGGGTTGGATTTCATATATTCCAGAAATATTTTGACCTGAAAGAATATCAAAAACTTCACCAAATCTATTTTTCTCTCAAGATTCCGTCCAGTTTCAATCACTCACAAGGTGTGCAGGGTAGTTTACTTCTCTATTTCATTTTTGTTTTCTTTCGTGTAATTCAATGTTGATATGAGAATAGTTTCTAAAAAGCTTCTTCTTACAATTTGTGACTGAAAGTTACTCCTTTGCATAATCTACACGTCTTTGTAAAGAGTTCATTTTGAAATTAATTAATTCCTTTCTTTGTAAGATTCCAACATTTTTTATATAATGATGTAAAAGTAGAAAGCCAAAACCTTTCTTTCCCAAAAATTAATATCTCCTGAAAATATACCCCTTTCAATTTAAACAAGATTCGCATGGCTCGGATTGAATCAAATGAGCGACAGAATGTCATTACGTACTGTCATCGATGACATGAGTAGGCAATTGCCTGAAGAGGTAATAAGGCAAGTGTCTTATTCCTAAAAATCGGATATCCGCCATTGAGGATGACAGTGTTCCATGTAAGCGAAATTTTACCTCTTTCATATACTTTATTGTGTAACAATTCTGTAAATGTTGTATGATTCAATTCCATAACAATGTTTGGAGCACAAACTGATTATGAAACAGCGTTTTTATATAATCTAATAAGCATATAAAAGGAGTTATTTCAGAGGTATTTTTTCTTTCGTGTAATTCTATGTTTATATGAAAGTAGTTGTTTCGAGGTGGCTTTTTATTCCAGTTTAAGTCTGAAACTTATTTGGATGATCTACACATTTCTGTGAAGTTTATTTTGAAATTGATTGTATCCTTTCTTTGGAAGATTTCCATATTTTCTGCATGAAATTGGAGAAGTAGTTTTCTTGTTCTCCATATTCAAACAAATTTTCACAATTGAGAAGGGCATATTTTAATGGGATATTCATTTTCGGGAAGGAAAGGTTTTGACTTTCAGGAAAGAAATGTTTTAGCTTTCCACAACCTTTCTTTCCCGAACATGAATATCCTCTTAAAATATGTCTATCTCAAATATAAAGATTTTCAATTGACTCATATCATCTTTCTTCCTAAAGTTGGTAATGAGCGCCGTATATAGTCTAATCAACAAGTTCAGAAATATGTAAAATAGAGATAAAGGTCCTAAAAATATGAGCGATAGCTCAATCGATTCGGAATCACCTCTAGAAGAATGTTTTCGAAGGATTTTAGTGCAGGTGAAAAATTGCAATTGTTATTGACAAAATAAGAAAAAAAATGGTATTCAGGTTTTCGTTAATAACTCAAAAAATATTAATATTCAAGCACTTTTTAAAAAAGCTCTTTAAAGAGTAGGAATTTTTCGATAAAANAATAACTTTTTAAGAAATGGTGATAAAACTTTTTTTTCTACGGGATTCGATTCATTCAAGTGTTAAGAAGATAATGTATTGTTTTCAAATTTTTGAAACGACATTTTATGTTTTGAAAAAATTATTCTTTTTGATAAATTGTCTTCAGCGGCAGCGCGCGCATGCCGTAACAGCCGCGCGGAACCCTATTTACAGTTTCAGAGTTTCGAGAGATGAGACTTTTCTATCGGAAATTTCCTTCTCTTCAACGTGCTCTTTTTGAAATTGCTTAAATAATAATATTTTTTGAGTTATTACCGAAAAACTAAATACCATTTTTTTAATCTTATTTTGTTAATCACAATTGCAATTTTTTACCTGCACCAAAATCCTTAAAAAAACATTTTTCTAATGTGATTTCGAATCGAATGAGCTATCGCTCATATTTTTAGGACCTTCATCTCTATTTTGCATGTTTTTGAACTTATTGATTAGACTATAAATATTCATTTATTTCACAGTACAATTTTTTTTGTTTTGTCAAATGTAACCTCATGATTGAATGATTGTCCAAACACCTAATTTTGGTAATTATACAAATGGCAATTTATGTTACTAACAGCAGAAAGAAAAAATTGCGCTAGGATTTGTAATCGAGAAAACCGTGATCATCATGTCGTACCGCTCACTTGACACCACTGAGCTATTTGGTGTTGATTTACAAAACGATAATTTCCATCGTAAAGCCATTCCACTAGCCGTATTCATTTTGTGAATCAAAATATGTCTGCTATAATAATAACATTGAAGCTGTTTTTGTATAGAACAGAAAATACTGGAGCGTCATATTAATGCGGTTGGAAAAAAATGTGTGTATGATTCGATTAAACAGAATTATTATGAGTAATCAAGTTGCCTTGAAACTTTGTTGAAATACTATATGTCAAATATCCTCAAGTATATCATGACAATGTCATAAATTATTGTCACTCTCAACTACTCTTCGAATATTTTTCGAAATGCCGTTTTCGCATCAAGAAAAATGTGATATGTTAGAATCCTACTTGGTTTGCCAGAAAAATAGCATAATAGCACTCCAGCATTACAGCAATTCGTTCCTCGATCGTGAATTACCTAATGGGCGTTTTTTTTTGCTGTGCTTCATCGTCGATTCAGTAACAAAGAGAAAGTTTTTGAGAAGAGGAGAAATAAAAAACGTTCTGTAATATTTGAAGGTACAGAAATGGACGTTTTAGCCTACTTTGAGATCAGACATTCATCTAGAGAAATAGCTGTTCAACTGTCTGTTATTCAAGGAATTCTGAAGAAACATGATATTTCTCCTTATAAGTTAGGACCAGTGCAAACACTAGAACCTGGTGACCCTGAGACACGATTGGAAATGAATGCTTCCATAGAAATATTATATGGTGCGATGAGGCAAATTTTTTAAATTTTGTGATGTTTAATTGAAAAAATTTCCATTATTCAGGTAATCTAATCCATTCCCACAATCCTCAAAGACGATTTAGTATTGATGTTTCGATGATTTCAATCTGAAGACTTATTAGATGATATATTTTCAGCAGGATGGAGCACCAGCACATAACTTCAGTGGCGTAAAAGAATAATGGGAGACTGTTTTGGAAACAGATGGATTATTACAAATGATCCTGTTAAATGGCCTTCTTGTTCACCAGACATGACACCTCTATATTCTTATTTTCGTGGATTTCTGAAATATGTGTTGAACAAGAAGCTTGTGTTTTTGAATATTTATTCGATATTTTATAAGAAATCTTTTGTACTAGTGAAAGAAATAAATATTCCCACATAAATCGCTCATTCTCTACTTCATGTAGAGTTATATTGAATCGAAATGCATGATAAAATATAGGATAAATGAATATAGATAAATTGTATGAACGTATTGATATTGCATCCATAATTTGTATATTGAATGGGGTGGATCTTTGTTATTTGTTCATTTACTATCAATATAACCACTGAAATTAATGAGTAGATTGAAAATGGTTCGTCCATCAACCAGCTATTGTTCTACAAGAGTGATATTTCTCAAATGTCGAAACTTGAACCATCTGGGAATCAACTGTGTTTTCTTTGACTTGTGATTTCTACCGAAATCATCACACGTTGTGAAATAGATGTTAATATGAGGAGTGTTCCACTTACCATCTGTTTGAATTTCCTTACAGCTTTTTGGGAGCGATCTATTCGATTTTTGATGCTGATTACAGAAGTGAGATTTATCAACTCCTACTTGAGATTTGCAATTTGAAGTGAAATCGGAATAGAATGAGCTGAAATTTAAAATTATTATCGAATGAGCACTTGATCGAATCTCAATCATTTGAAATGAGGCTACAAAAATATTTCACGATTGTTTTTGAGCGGGACATTTCGTATTATTGTTTTCAATTGAATTACAATAATCCTAGAAGGGTTTGATGTAGTTCAAGGTAGAAGTTTTCGAAGAATTTTCATTTCATACCGGTGAAATTCATTCAATTTAGTGCTTTCATTATCGTTTCGTGGCGCGTCACAATGCGAAGTGATGTGGAGGATTCTCCAATAAAGGCGCCTGAAACTTCTATTTGCGCTGCTTCATCAAAAACACGGTGATTATTTATTTTCTTGTTATCAATGGAAACAGTTTCACTGAACTTCTGGTACTGATGAAGTGCCCGCCGTCGAACTTTAAGAGTGCTCCAATGAACTCGCACCAGTATTTTGCAGTATTTTAACATCTGTAGTGATCATCTATCGTATGTCACCATAACTGAACTAACGCAATCAAGAAACCTGGAGAGTCGATAGCTGTTAAACTTAATATTTCTGACGCCTTTTACCGTGTGTGGCATGAGGGTTTGCTGGCCAAACTTCGATTCTATGGTTTGTCTTCGTGTATGGATTTTCAGCTTCTTGAAAATACATTTTCTGCAAGTGGTCGTTGGTGGATATATCTCGGATACTTTCACCATCAACACTGGCGTTCTCCAGGGAGCCATATGATATCCAACCCTCTTTTTATTGTATATTAACGATTCATTGATGAAAACCTAATATATAACTTTACTGACGACAGCACACTTGTCTCGCTATTCCATTTGGATTCCAGGATATAGGCTGCGGATACACATCTTCACCGGCAGCAGCAAATTGCATATTCAAATGTGGATCTAGTGGTGAATTTGAATTGGGATGAAAGTAACCAGGTTCAATTCAATGCCACGAAAACCCAGGCCTTGGTTTTCTCTAAATAGATGAATGTCTCCGAACCAGATATAATAATGTCAGGATAGACAATTCCGCTTTCTGCTTCGATAAGTTTGTATAGGATTAAAATGGACACCAACATGTCTTGACACAATCATGTCGCTGGAATTGCAAAAGCTGCTTCTCAAAAGCTTGAAACACTGTTCCGAGCCAGAAAACTGCAAAAATCTTAGTAACTTTTGATGCTTCATGAATATCAGATCAGACCTTCTTTGGAGTATTGTTCACATATATGGAGCTCTATCCCTAAGCACACCCTGAAGCTGCTGGATTCCATCCAAAAAAAAAACCAACCACCTGATTGGAGACACAAACATCACTTGCAACCTCAATAGTCTGGAGCATTGAAGAAAAGTTGAAGATTTGTCTCTTTCTTATTGATAGTTTCACGAAAGGTGTTCGAGTGACTTGACATATTTGATTCCAACAAGAGCGGTACATATCAGAAATACGTGACGAAATGTGGCTGCTCATTGTTTTGAAGTTCAACTCAGTACACCTCAAACTGCTCTCTCTTCACAACTCCTTCATTAAAAGAACTGCGTTCATTTCAAATATACTTCCTGAGAATGTTTTTCCAAATGAATTTAACCTCCAGCGATTCAAATCCAATGTGAATCGCTACTTCCGAAGAGGCACCGCTCTGCACCTAGAGGATTTTGCTGTAGTGCTTAGCAACTAATTCTAGTACATATTCATTGAGTAACCGCGATATCTTTCCTGAAACATTGTTGTTGTCCTTCTTTGCATCTTCGACATTTTCCATAAATATAAATAATTTCAGTTCTTTGTTGAAGTGCTAACACCATTGTTGTAAATAATTGAATTAACGCACAACCTCTAATACACAACACTGATTTTACGATTTTCAAGTTAACATTTGCCGGTGCTAATTCATTATATTTTTCGAAAAACAGAAAGGAGTGATGCAGGCTCCGAATAAAGTAACCGTTTCTTCAAAGATCCAAATTCAATTTGGTGAAATATAGTAAAAACCAAAGCTGTGAGTGAAGCTCTGATCATTATTTTTTAACTAATACAGTGACATATGAAGAAAATTGCAATATACAGTGACTCCACCACAAAAATATTTCCTAAGAAGATGTCATACTAACCTTTGTGATTTCACTATATTTTCCAGTTTTTCTATCAGTGTTTCCAATTGATCTTTGTTCGAAAGTCTCCCAGTAGATTGGAGTCGCGGTGTTTTGTTGGAAATATCTTGACATATTTTTTCATGTTTTGTTTCATCTCTTGTTTGATCTATCTGAGATTCTCCTATTGAAAATAGAATAATTTCTGAATCAATCAGAGCTTTTATTGAACTTGTATGACCTTCGCAGATGAATTTTATGCACTGGGGGAAAATATGTAATGTAATTCCGAAGTGCAAATTGTCAATAAATGTTTTGGTTGTTTCATACTTCTTGGTTTTATCTGTGATACTGAAAATATATGTATGATGCAAAACCTATTGCACAATAAATGGAATTATTTCAACTTGACCAGGAAATCAGAAAGGAAGGTATCAATTTTTTTAATTATAATCACACAATTCATCCATAGTAATCCAAGATGAGAGCTGTACCTACAAAAGATCTGTTCTCAACAGATGAATAAGAAGATTTCTCTTGCTTTGACGAGGAGTTCAGAAGTCCAGAAGTTGTGAAAAAATAAATCAGTATTTTTCTACACTTATTACATAAATGAACACTGTGAACTAACAAAGAGAGCAAACTCACTTACATTCAGAGTACAACAGATGGTTCTAAATCAATAACATTTTTGACAATATTATATGAAAATGTGGAAAATGAGGAAATATATTACGAATTAAACATACAAGGTTCATTTGGCTCTAGTTCTTTAATCTTAATACTCCATAGTTATGAAGGAATTCAAGCTGATCTGTTTCAGTTTGCTACGCAAATTCAGTGATCAGGGAAAACTTCAGTTCTTGAGAGAAATGAGCAGCAGTTGGTAAAAGTAAGTTTCAGAAATGGCTTTGTGTTTTTTTGAAAAAGGGGATTCTTACACATTAAAATTTTTGTGATCGAATGAAAATTGAATGGAATCTCAAATAAAAACTAGGAAATTGCACGTCAATTCTCCTCAACACGTTGTTCTCTGGTCGGGGCAGATTGAAAAAATGAATGAATATTTCACTTCTTACATCCATAAGTCCAGTTCATAACTTCAAATCTTTATGAAAGGAGGTTTTTCAAAATAACTTCCGAATGGAACATCTTCAGCTCTCTCATTTAAAATTATTAAATTAAATCGAAACCCCCATCAACGTTGCCCTCACATTGTCGTTGTGGTAAAGAATTCATATTTTTATAATTCCGGAAGCCACAGCGGCAGTAGCTCAGCTACCTTGGCCTTATCAGGTATCACCAACAGAGCATCTGGGATAGTAGCCTTGTATTCATGTAGAGGGTTCGATGGATGTGGACAATAATTTTCCCTTTACTGGAAGGATTCATATATCTGTTTGGAAAATCTGTTTGAAATCTGTTTTTCCGTTAATCAGCTGTCGCCCCCATACGAACGACTACTCTCAGAAGTTGAAAAACTTGTGCAAGCTGAGGACTATCGAGGTCTTACCTTTCAACATTTAATTCCTAACACGGGTTTGGAGTGATATATAAGCAAAAACAAGAATGAGAAGAACTTTTCTAGTGGCTCTTCCCAAGATATGACTGACCGCAAGACTCAGGAGGACCAACATAGTCAAATACGAACAGCGCGTGACAGTACTACCGAAAACTGGTATTGCAGAATTCACAAGTGTCGGACTGTACCACAGATGTGGCAGATGCGTAAACTGAAAAATGCGAGAAATATTTCTGAAGGGACAAGAATTGGGAAACCACAACACTAATTTTCAGTACAAAAAAACTTCAATAAGCACAGAGGCCCTATGGATAATCTGTACCAATGAAGAAAAACGAGACGTGAGAAAGTAATTGACGTGAAAATAGGTACTACATTGGTAGGTTATTATGTTCGGAAAGCTGTTGAAAACATTCAGAACTTCAAAATCAGAGGAAACCAAACCTCGCAAGGGAATCACAAGTGTGGGATCGATTTGAAAGTTCCCTAATTGAATATTACAAATAAAATTCAAGAGGTATTCGTAGATAAGGCACTGCAATAAGGTCAAACAGACCCACGTATGTGTCAGACTACAAAATTCTCCGAAAAGAAGTTCAGAGCTCGATAAATTCAGAAATAACAAATCGGAAACAGGGGTCCTGAGCAAATTTGGAACTGAAGGGCCCAAAATGTTAAGCAGGAGAGATAAAATGGGCTATCAACATATTCCAATCATCCAAGTCGCCCTGGGTAGATAATTTTTATCCAATAATGCTGCCAAAAGTTCAGTAATTTTATCGAAGAAAGTGTGTGTAACCCTAAGTATCAGTTTCGCTCTGGGATGCATACTCTAAACATAGAGACTCATCACTGATACCTTCAATTAGGAACCAGAAAAATATCACAGGACTTGGCGAAGGCCTGGAGACCAATCAATCGCATCATATTAGAAAAACTAGCATATTAGGAACATAATTCAACAGGCCACTGCATCGAGACCGATATGCGTAGATATCAGGTATGTCAACATAAATGGTTCCATGTCTAATCTTCTCACAAAAAAAATAAGTACTTTCGTTTGCGTTCTTGGGTATCGAACGCCCATCTGATAATACATCCCTAGAATCGATCAACAAGTGTTTTTGACGATAGAAGCTGCGGTGGATGATAGTATGCTTCGAGGAAGATTATAATATATGACTATGATGAGAGAAACAATAATAGCATAGATTGCAAGGAGCTGTCCTCACAGCGGATTTTCCTTACTTTTTTCCATTGTTGATCATTTTGTAGAAAATAAGTTATTTTGTTTCATCGACCATAAAACACAAAGGTATCGACTATGAGGTCGTATGAGGTCCAATACTCAAGAGTTTTACTAGATCACTGGCGGACATAGGTAAAGGGTGGATGTAGCACGGAGGTAGCACTGATGCTGGTTAGACACACCTATGGCGAGACATGGAGTCTGAAATCAGACATGATGCTATTTACAAACCAAGCAGGCTGCAAAATATGGCATGTTTGGGAGTGACGGAGCAATGCATACATTTTCAATCACCCACTTCCTATTGTACATTTCGAAATGGTGAGAGGAGCGCGGGTGGGCTAATTCAGATCGAAGAACAAACCGAGACACATGGGATCGTGCAAAACAGAAATTTTAAGATATGTAGCGAAACGAACATCTAACATGTTTTCGGATCACATGGCACCAAAATACATATCTGACATAAAGTACGTACCTAAAGTGTCAGGACATGAAAAGCGAACAGTAAACAGCCAACTCGAACAGAAACTTATTGAAAACACCTCTCATAAAGACAAGTCGGAAACCAAACGTTGGACTAGAGCTGAGATATACTATGTGGAGAGTAATCTTAATTTCAATTACCCGCTTGGTGGTACACATCAGACTTCCAGGCTGAAGTGTACAATCTCGATATGCCTTACGAACTTTCAATCGAGGCCTCAACGAAATCTTTCACAAAGAACCAGTCTGTACCAGAGGCACCGACAAATCAATAAGTGACATCGAGACTGGAGTGGAAATGAGGAACTGAGGAACCTAACATACAGGAATATATCAACTGTATACTGGGTGAGAGAACACACATGTATCATGGGCAACCAAAGAGTTGATCAATCTGTCATACTCAAATCCTCAACTCTACATGTATGCCCTGAACATGCTTCTGGATTTATTAAAATGACCATTCGGAAACAGAACCAAAGAACCACTCCAGTAAGCAGATATTGGCTCAGAACCATTAGTGGCTACTCATTGAACACTGCTCATTGAGAGAACAGCTGAACAAAATATAGCTACATTTTGGCATACATGATTTTTTCTGCAATATTCAAATATGGTAAAAAAATCCCGTTCGATTATCGACCTATTCATTTTATAGAAATTCATATCGAATATAGGATAGAGAAAATAAAGAAAAAATTATTTTTTCTATCCTTTATGATGAATATAATTGAAAAAACTTGCCAGTTCCTTCAAAATTTTCAACAAATGAAATACTTTCTGAAAAGATAATGAGAATACTAAGAAATATTGGATGTTATCTCAGAGCATCATAAAAATCTGANACATGAATTAATCAACTCCAGCGATTTATACATCGTATATTGTGGTTATTAATATGAATATTTTGAAAGGGTTTGTATATAAGGGTTTTCAATTTCAATTGAAGACCACTAATAGAATCATCTAAGTGTACACGAAAATTTATTTATAATTTTAATCAACTTTGACGTTCTGTTTTACTTCACCATACCTATGTTTATGTCTGCTTTATGATATTTCACTTCTTTTCTTTTCAAGTAACTTATTTTTATTATGTTAGATTTTTTCCTCTTGAAATAAGAAAGTTTTTCCATGTACCACGTACGAACAGTAATTGCTACTTGTAGTGAAAATTGTATGTGTGAACCTTTGTACAGGACAGACGAGTTTTTCGGTATTCCGTAGAAAACCTCAAATAGTGCTGGAATATATAATATTTCTCATTCATTATCTTATGCAGACAATTTGAAGTTAGCAAAGGATAAAAATTTAGCTTTGAACAGTGAAAAGTTATTTGTATAAAACACATTTGTTAAAATACGGTGTGTACGCATTCGTTGAAACACTGTTCAATGGTCCTGATAGTGGTGTCAAATTCTTTCTGCTGAAAATAAAAATGTCAGTAAATGAAAAACTAACATCGCAACAGATTCTCAAAGGAATACTCTCTAGCAAGAACGAATTGAAGAACGCAATAGAAGCAAGCGAAATGAGAGTGAGACTCGATATAGAATCTTTGAAAAACATAGTTCTTCAATTAGAAAGAGAAAGCATAGAACTTAGAAAAAAAGTAAAAATTCCGGATCAACAGTCCAGAAAAAACAATTTTTTGATATTTGGATGGAAGCAAAAATCCAACGAAATAACTCCTGAAAACATATGTAATACCATCAACGACCTACTGGTAGTGAACCTTATTCATCAAGACATTAACGATATCTACCCTTTAGGTCATTCCGCTGAGAGACCAATTGAAGTTGAACTAGTATCTCGTTTGAAGGAACAGGAAATTTTTAGAAATTGTAGCAAACTAAGTGGAACCAAAATATACTTTTGTCCATGATCAAATGAAAGCACAAAGAGAAGAAAGTAAAATTCTGAAGAA